TTGAAGATCCCTTCTCACAATTTTGATGATTGAAAGTGTGTGTGTATGTGCATACATGCATGTAAGTGTGTACATGTATGTGTATGTATGTATGTAGGTATGTGTGTATATATACACATATATACATATATGTATATCTATATCATAGTTCTGCTATAGGGTACTTGCCCTCACGGAAGAGAGAGAAGGGAAAGTTTGAAATTACCCTTGAAGGGGGATGGCCACACTGCAGTCTCTTCTCTATTCTCCTCTTGGGAGTTTTGGGCATCTATGCACATTGCATGGGTCCAGGACTCAAACCTCATAGTTGGCTATTTAGAATCTAGTCCCTTTAACTTCCATGCACCTGTTAGCCCTGAATTTTTTTTTTTTTTTAGGTTTTTCCGATAGGGCCCACGTGCTTGCAAGAGAGAAAGAGAGGGAAAATGTGAAATCACTCCCTGAGGGAAGGCAATCCCCTCTCCTCCATTCTTCTCTTAGAATTTTGGGCAAGGGACCAGCAGTTAGCATAATGGCTATGTCGCTGGACTCCCACGTAGTCGACCGCGGTTCGCGTCCTGGACCCGGCGGCTTAAACTCACACTGGGCGCGTGTGCATGCGTGCCCAAGATCCCGAGAGGAGAACGGAGGAGAAAGGATTGCGGCGTGGCCATCCCCCCTGGGGGGTGATTTCTCGCTTTCTGTCTCTCTGTCTCTCTCTGTCTGTCTGGCAAGCACATGCACCCTATAGCGAAAACCTCTCAAAAAAAAAAAAAAGAATTTTGGGCAAGTACATACATGATTTTCCAGCCACTGGGTCTAGCTCTTGAACCATGGTTGACCTTGTGGGAGTCCAGTGCCTTAACTACCAGACAACCAGCTGGCCCCATAAGGGTTTTGTTGTTGTTGTTGTTGTTTTGTTTTTTAAGTTTATTTATTTCCTTTGTGAGAAAGAAAGACAGGTACCCTTGACAGGGTCTTGCTACACCACAATTTCTCCCCTAGCCTTTTAGCCAGCCAGGATCACAGCACACACAAGTTCATTCAGCCTGTTTAGGTCTACCTAGGATTCAACCTTGGTTTTAGCATATGGCCCCAGTATGCACAGTGGGGCCCTACAGGCTGTGCCACTGCAGTTGGGCCATGATGATAGGAAGTATTTGAAGTATTATGCCTTCTAAGAAAATTAACAATAAGTCCGTACTATCATCTTATCTCTCACTATGTTCTAATTTCCTTAGTTGACTCAAAAGTGTCTTCTTCAACTGTTTTTTTTTTTTTTTTTTTTGAGATTTTTTTCTATACGGCATGTACGCTTGCTGGAAAGACAGAGACAGAGAGACAGAAAGCGAGAAATCACCCCCCTCCCCAGGGGGGATGGCCACGCCACAATCCCTTCTCCTCCATTCTCCTTTCAGGATCTTGGGCATGCATGCACATGTGCCCGGCGTGAGTTTAAGCTACTGGGTCCAGGACTTGAACCGTGGTCGGTTACCTGGGAGTTCAGCGATATAGCCATTACGCTAACTGCTGGTCCCTACAGCTGTTTTTTTTGAATAATAATTCAATCAAGGTTTGTGCTTTGTATGTTGTAGTTATTTAGGAAAATGTCCATTTTTTTTTTTTCTTGGAGAGGTTTTTGCTATAGGACGTTTGCGCTCACCAGAAAGATATAGACAGACAGAGAGATAGAAAGTGAGAAATCAACCCCCAGGCGGGATGGCCACACTGCAATGCCTTCATCTCCATTTCCCTCTCGGGATCTTGGGCATGCACGTGCCCTGTGTGAGTTTAAGCCACTGGGTCCGGGACTCAAACCACAGTCGGCTACATGGGAGTTCAGCAACATAGCCATTACGCTAACTGCTGGTCCCGAGAATGTCCTTTTTAAAAAATAATTACTTATTTATGTAATTCCATTTGTTATTATTATTATTTTTAATTTGATGAGAGAGAGAGAGAGAGAGAGAAAGGGAAGACGATAAAGCAAGTCACTAGGTCCAGGACTTGAACCGCTGTCGGCTATGCGGGAATTCAGTCCCTTTAACCACAATGCCACCTGCCAAACACAGAGAATGTTCATTTTTTAAAATGATTTTTTAAAAATTATTTTATTTCATTCATCATTATTATTATTTTTAAAATTTGACCAGAGAGAGAGGGGAGGAAAGTGAGAAAGCAAGCCACTAGGTCCAGGAATCAAACTACAGTCAGCCATGTGAGAGTCCAGTGCTTTAACCACCATGGCACCTGCAGGCCCAAGAATGTTCTTTTAAATGTTTTTTTTTTTTTTTTTCATGTTAGAGGGTGCATACATATATGAAAGAGAGAGAGAGAAACTCCCCTCTCGGAATAGGGCTCAGTCACTGTGCTAGCCTTTCTCATCCAAGGCCTTTTTTTTTTTTTTTTTTTTAAATTGAGTTTTTGCTATAGGGCATGTGTACTTACCGGAGAGAGAAAGAAAGAAAATGAGAAATCACTCTCCAGGGGGTTGGCCATACCACAATCCTTTCTCCCTTTGGGATCTTGGGCATTCATGTACATGTGCCTGGCAGTAGTTTCAAGCCATTGTGTCTGGAACTCAAACCATAATCAGCCATGTGGGAGACCAGCGTCTTAACCGCTACACTACCTGTTGACCCCAAGAATGTCTTTGTTCCTAAAAGATGCATGCTAAAGTATTTAGGGGGAGGTGTCTTGATGTCTGTAGTTTACACCACTAGCAAGTAATTTAGCAAAGAAAAGGAAAAAAATATGTACTTACATTTATATGTCTCTATACGCATGTATTAATATTTAGATAAAACTGATATAGAAAAATGCTAATAAATATGGACTCTAGATACCATGTAACTGTTTTCTATACTGCTCTTTTTTTTTTTTTTTTTT